AAAAAAAAAAAATTCTTAAAAAATCAAAATTAAACAATTTTGAAAACAGCTCAATGAAAATTAAAATTTCGATTCCTTATTTAATTCATATAATATTTCACCTAAGCAAATCAAATATCCAAATTTAATCATATTTCATTTTACTGAAACACAACTGTTCTTCAAGATTGATTGAAAATGAAATGAACTTACTGGTAGAGTGATTGGATTTGTTAGTGTTTCTGCTGTAGTTTGTAAATTATCATGTGAGGGAATTGCTTGAGTTGCTACTAAATTAGCAAGTAAGGTTGGCGTTTTGGTGAATAAAACATTGTTGGCATCTTTCGATAAATGATGCAAATCTTCCTTTACATCCTGCGATTCATCAATACAATCGTTCATCATTGTGACATGTTTATTTGATGATGGCGATGTTTGATCTGTCAGCCCAAAATAAAAACCAAATTGATTGTTTTGCGCAAGTGTCTGTGCGATAGAATATAATGATGGTATAATGAGGAGTAAATTACTAAGTCGTACCGAGGTATCACCAGATGGTAAAATTTGCTTAATATATGTGAATAATGCACGTAAAACACCATCACGTGCCTCACGTAACTTTTCACGTGACGAAATAGTTAAACCTGTTACATCAGGATGTAGCAATACCAATGCTTTTAATGCCGAAATTTCTGCCTTCTCAACATTTATACGACGAAGTGGAGTTAAAAGTTCATCCATGATACGACTTACAATAGCAACGAGATCGGGATAATGAAATGGTGTAAGGGTCAAGAGTGTATCATTAGGAAGTACGATATGAGTTGATGAGAGTGAACGTTGAACGGTATGTAAAAGCGAAAATGCTTGTGAGCAATGCTTTAGTAGTAATACCTGAAAATTGTGGCCAAATTGATAATTAATAAAAAAAAAATGAATTAATAGGGAAAATTGATAAAATAAATAAATCAATAACCTTATCAGTGAATGGTAATTCAGGAATTGGATGCAATAAATTAGCCCAACCGATCATTAGCGATATACTTCTTTGTCGTGAATTATTTTCTTGTCCTTCACCGCCAAGAATATTATTAATATTCTGATTTCCTTGAAGTCTACTTTCAATATCTAAAATCATTTCTACAAGACGACGTGATGCCGTTGTTGTTGCCTCATCTTCACTATAGCGTCGCTCAAACCGTGCTGATGATGGCGAATCATCTGTAAATTAATCATGAAAAATAATCATCTGAACAATTATTTTTTGCAAACATTCACATTTTAGAATGTGAAAGATAATATTACGAGTGGAAAAGTGAATGACGAAGGTAATATCATAGGAGTTACGTCAATCCTTAATACTTTGTAAGCGAGATGTTACGAATGGATAAGTGAATGAAGGAGGGAATGTTACGTGAATTCTTGAGTAGTTATAAGGGAAATGATGATACTTGCCCGAATCACTGTTACCATCACCGCTTGTTGATGTTGGTTGTAAATGAGCAGGTAAAGTTCTTTTACGATTTCGTTTTGTACTACCAATACGATCTCGTTCATTTTGGATTGCTAGAATGAATCATACAATTAGTAAAATTTTTGTTAGACAAAAGTTAGTTTGAATTTTTTTGCTCACACAAAAAAAATACAATCATCTCATCCATTTTTTTTTCCTCTTATTACACCTATTATTGATTGGGTCAAGGTTCAGTTAGTTTTGAAATGGATTATAAGATTATTAGAAACATAGCAATTGTTAAAATATTTCCATTTAAATAGATTTAAAATGATTTAAAAGCAAAAAAAAAAAAGAAATGAAAAGAGAACTATTTTTAACATTACAAAACATCCATTTTAAATAAATCATAAAATGAAATAAAACAATGCATTGAATGGCAAATATTTATTTTTAATTTGTTGAAATGAATGCTTTAAATTAATAATAAATTATAGAAGTGATGACAAAGAAAACAAATATTTATAAAAAGTTTCTAATAAGACAAGCATCTATTGTAGTATTGTAGTTTTATCATTGGGATGTCAGTTAAAATGTACTGTAATATATTTAAAATTAAATTTTAATCTATGATAATGTATTACATTGACAAAAATAAACCCTCTTACAAAGGTGAGATATCATATAGGTAAATTCTATACTTTTTAAAATTTTATCAGTTAAAAAGTAAAAAATATCACAGATTTTATTAAGTAAGTTTATGAAATGAATAAACTTTTACCTTCTGGTTTCATTCCATCTGCCAGACATTTCTGGAAGCGACAATATCGACATGCATTTCGATGATCTTTATCAATGTTACATTGCTTGCTAAATCGACATGTATATTGCAGATTTTGCCAAACACTATAAAATGACAATTTGTATTGGGATTGAAATGGAATTTAAAATGCATTACTTATTACGGTAGAAATCAGATGACCAATTCACTGTATGATGATAGATGGACATTTTGCGTATGTCAAAATAGTTAAATTTTAATTTCAAAAATTTTTACAGAAATATAGATGAGAAATTTGGATATAGAAAGTATTATTTATTCTAAAACTTACAATCAATCATTAATGAAAAATTTCCACAAATAAATTTAGAAACTTCTATTACATTCACTGCATTTCATCTATTACTCTTGCTATCAGATTGTTAATTATTAAAAAAAATTTTCATTTTTTAAATCAAACGATTCCGAGTATTTTTTACAGTGCGAAAAATTCAACAATTTTAAATATTTGGAGGATATTTTTCAAACACAAATTCCTCCAATGTATTAATGAGTGGTCAGTGACGTTTGTTCGCTCATAATTAACATTTCATTTGCAGTATTTTCGGAGCTCATGCAGTATTAGTTTGCAAATTAAATCGTCCAATTGAGGCAAATATCGCTAAATATCGCAAATATCACAGAGAAAAAAAAAAGTGTCATGTCCTATATATGATTGTGTATTGCGAATGATTCGCAATAAATGAATGTGAAATGACTAAATTTCAGATTTAAGTTCAATACTTTAAAAGCAAATATCAATATGAGGCATATGAGCGGAGGCAAAAAGAATAATTCATTGAAAGCGGCAATGCACATCTGTGATTAATTCAATTTAACGGTATAGATGGTTATCGGGTATATCGAAGATCGAAGAACAGAATACCTTCTGCGAAAGAATCCTTTGCATCCGTTGCAAGCAACCGCACCATAATGCTTTCCGATAGCTTTATCACCGCAGACGACACAAAAATCGGTTGGATCGTTAGCGACTGTTGATGTGGCGCTGCCTTGACTTGTTAGTATATCCATTATGAATGGATGAACTTTTTTTTTTTCCAGAAAAATTTAAAATTCTAAATGCTAGGAATTGAAAAAATTTTCGATGTGAAATTGATCGAAATCTCTTCCAGCAAGCTGAAATGAACGGAAATATTGCGTGGAATATTTTTCACAGTAAATTTATATCCAATTACGTGAATTATACAAAAATTAATTATTGATAAATTAAAGAGATAGAAATTTCTACTAATCATTCCTCATCCATAATAAAACATACAAATAATAATTATGAAGAATTATGCTTATTTTTTATGTAAATTTATTCAAATATTTTTTGAAATTTAGAAATTCAATTTATTTCAAACCAAATTTTTCAATGTATTTTTAGCTAATTTTATTAACAAAGAGAATGTGTGTTAAATATAATTTTTCGTTAAAATGAAATAAAAAATTCGGATTTAAAATAACGCGAATATATGCGAAATAGCAACTTGAAATAATTTGAAATAATTTGAAATAATAATGAACTTAACAAACTTATTCAACTTCTATGTACACTTAAATAAAATTTGCGCATAAAAATGTAGACGTGAATCAGATGTGAAAAAGTAAAATGGTAAAATAGTAATTAGTAACACAAAAAATATTTATTGTTTAATTTATATTCTAATATTTTGCCCATTTTAGAGGAAATTGTAATGGAAAAGATGGGAAAGAAGTAGGAAGCGAACATAACGAATATGTACACACAATTGAAAAAGGGGTTGTTTTGTTGTCCTTTATATTATTCCGTTCCTGCCAACTTTTCCAAAAATACGGTATGAAGAAGTGGAACTGCGACAGTTGCAACTGAGTCACATTCCGCTTTCAGATATCTTTCTTTCTTGAAATTCATCAACACTGTAACATTTCTCATATGTTATATTCAAATTAAAATCAAAAATAAGTAATTTTAATTCATCACAATTTAATACCATCTTACTTTTTAATAATTCAAGAAGAATGGAAAAAATTGAGAAATCCAAATTTGTTTTATAATTCTATCCTTATTAAATAATAGAAATTGATAAATTATGAAAGAGGAAATGATTCTGAAAGTATGAATAAGTTTTTTTTTTTCTAAAAAAAGTAACAATGTGATAATATAATATGGCATGATAAATTTGCAAAATAAGTCTGAATTTTTTTTTTTTGCTCATTTAAAAAAATATTTTGCGAATTGATGAGAAATGAAAAAGTTTTTAAATAATTGGGGATTTGAATACTTTTATACTACAGTTCGATTATAGTTGGATGGTTTTGGATTTTTCATAAAAAAAAAGGCTTGATTAAATTGTGAATTGTTGAATTATTTTCTTCTAACAACCACTGGTACAATAATTTTTAAATCATTGAAATTTTCAAACAAACTAAAATTACTTACTGTAAAATTACCCACTGTAATATTACTCACATTAATGAAATTTCCATACAAATAATCACATGCACTTCTTATTTGTTCGAAAATACAATGATAACGTATAAAACTAATGAATTATTGGAAAATTTATGATTGTTAAAATTTCTTCGAATTTATTAACTGTGATTCGAAATAAATGATAAATGATAGCAAAAACATATGAAATTTTAAAAAGTACAAAATGGACAAGAAAAAGAACAAATAAACAAATAAATAAATAAGTATAAGAGTGCAAAAAGAAAACACGCAACAAAAATAATTTATAAGTGCTATGTTTACAAGATAAATATGAAAAATTAGAAATTTCTTTTTCTTTTTTTTTTTGAGAGAGAGAGAAAGAGAGAGAGAGAGAGAGAGAGAGAGAGAGAGAAAGAGAGAGAGAGAGAGAGAGAGAAATGATGACAAAATGATGAAAGACTGTTTGACTGTTCCACGATTGATGGAAATTATAAATGCAGTGCCAGGTATATGTTATATGATTGTATAGTGCACTTGTTCAAGTGACTCAACGTTTCTTTCTAAAGAATTCGTTCATTTTATTTTTATTTTTTTTTTTTTAAGCGTACAGTTTAAGAATTAATATTGAAAAATGTTTGAAATAGGGCGCAAAAATGAGCAAAAATGAGATTGAAAAGAAAAAAGAACGAAAGAATCATATCAGAAGTATTGTTTTTGAATGAATGATTAAGTCATCATTAAATTTTGTTATTGAAATTGATCTTTCTTGTTTGAAGAATTTTTAAAAGGAGCAAAAATAACAGAATGTTCCACATGCATAAAAATTAACTCGTAGAATGGGTGACGTTATTTTGGATGGAACTTTGAAAAATATTCAAATTGACATCGATCCATACAAAGTGATAACGATAATGATATTGAATCATTTGGAGCTGATAGTATCGAATTTTTGATAAAAACAAAAAGGGATACATTCAGCAAACAAAAAATAAAAATAAAATAAAATGTTTTCTTGTTAGAAAGATCAATAATTTTGGATGATCGTGACATTTTTTTTTCTCTTTTTAAATTTTCCAGTACCATATTGTTTTTTTTTTAAATCATATTAAATGTGAATCGTTTTTATGATCAATCATAAAATAATCAAAGATCATTGGTTTTGAATTTAATTCAAAAATGAACAATTAAATGACGGAAAAAAATATGATCGTAGATGGATAAATCATGCAGTGTAATATATCCGAATCGTACATCAGTGCGCATCGTTTTTCCTTTATTCAATTTATTAACGATCAAAAATACATAATTCAGAATTCAGAATTCGAATTCAAAATCGAGAATTCAGAATCAATATCTCGTTATGAAGATGTTTGAATGCTCAACCTTTGTTATTATACGCTAACTGATCTATTCTTACTGATTACTAAATTGTGATTTGTAAAATATAAATGATTGTGTACTAAAAAAAGCTATCACTATCCAATTTGCAAAGATATTAAAAGCAGATAATTTTTCGCTCTAACACTGCAAATTTAAAATTGGCTATTAGTTTTAAGTCATATTGGAAATTTCCATTCAACAATTATTTAAATCAGAAATAAAATTTTTCATAGATTACCTAGAATTATTCCTTACTTAGTAATTTTTCATTAATTTATTACTTATTGATAAATTCTCGTTTATTTGAATATTAAAAAAAAAAAAGCTATGTGAGTGAGTAAATTGATGAATTTTAAGGAATTTTAAACGAAAAAAAAAACATATGATAAAATGAAAACTTTCTCATATACATTTAGCTTATTTGTCGCAAGTAAAAAGAAAAAAATTTTTTTGGTTCAATCTTATTTATTCGATGAAATAGACAAACAAACTTCATTTTCAACTCCCTTTGATGATATTCAAACTTTATTAAAGAATGAAAATAGTTTTCATGATAAACGAAATAAAAGTGCAGGTTATCCTATGAATTGCGTTATTTTCAATTTTTTTTTTTATGATTAAATTTCTGACATTATCATAAACACCCACATCCACACCTATACACCCACGCACACACATACATATATACCTCAGCGGTACATTTTGCAGAATGATAGATTAATTAGGCATAGTGTTAAATTTAAAAAAAAAAAAAAATGAAAGGCAAAATAAGATTGCCTAATTATCATCGATTGATTTAGCATTTAGGGCGATCTTCGAACGGTCAACGATCTGCAAAAATGTATTTTCAGGGTTGGGTTAAAATAATTGTGTCAAAAATGAATTAAAGAACAAGAATAACATTTCGTGCCCTGTTTCTTTCTTTTTCTTTTTTCTTTTTTCTTTTTTTTTAAATGCTCTCTTGAATTTCTAAATCACATATTTGTTTTAATTTTAGACAAATTCCATTACTCTGTCATCTCATTCTCTCTCGTTTGTCATTTATTTTACAATAATTAGAAATTTGCTGTTATTGTTTTGCACTTTAAAAATCGAAATGAGATAATTCAATTCTAATTTTTTTCATATACACA